CACTGTAATGGAGCTGGGTGGTCAGGGTGCATGTGAACCCACGGCAACGTTGCTGCCAGTGCACACAGAGTTTGGTGGCTGGGGCCAAGGCCATGCCAGCTGCTTCCCGTGGCTCCTGGGAGTCAGCAGCCAGGAGCCCTGCCTTTTCTCTGTGAAATCTCAGTATCAGCTCTCTGTAATCCACTTTTGTGTAATTGTGTGCCTGTTCACCAAATCATTCATCCCACAGTATTGAGCTATGAGCATATAAGTCCATCAATGGACTGGATATCCAAACCCACTGAGGTTTCTTTCTGCTGAGGGTAGTTTCTCATACCCCCAAATATACAACATTAATTTGTGATAATTTTCACTTTAGTTTTGATACCTCATGAATGATGCCTTGTTTAATCTGAGGTTTGCCATAAAAATGGAGAAAGCATCTACTTGTATTTGAGTTTACATTTCCTTGTATAGGAAGAAAATGTTTCAGAACTTCCCCAGAGCATTCAATCCCACTTGAGGTGTTTGAAATCAATGAATCCTAGGTGGTGGCACTCTCTTCCAGTCAATTTAGCAAGTAAAATCTAGTCTTAGAATTCTCAAAAGCACCTATAATCTCTCACATGAGAAATACTTAATTGCAGCCGGCTTTGTCTAGGAATTTTATGTGAAAAACGTGCTCATTTGGAGTCTCTATATATCTAACTCCACTTTGAAAATGTGTATCTACAAGAGTTTTCTGAAGCTAGTGGTTAGCTAGAAAGCAAAGGGATCTTTTTCTCTAGTTAAAACAGAAAAAAAATTTAAATTAGTTTTCAGCCTTCCCTTTTAAGAAGGTTTGAATACAAGGATGCTTACTATCTAAACAAAAATGTCATGTCAAATGTGTGAGAATTTATAGTATTTCTAGCCTTTCCATATTTGCAACATAATCTATTGCTTGCCATGGGGGGAACACTCAACTAGAATTTGAAAATTCAAATGTTGTTTTGCTCAAAAGCAGTAATATATAGTTACTAAAGTTACTAATATCTGCTTAACAGCAAATCTGCTTCTCATGGGAAAGTTACAGATGCTTTCATTCTCCCAGAAATATGTCAGAAAAGACAATATGAAAGTAAATATCTTTTTTTTTTTTTCTTGTTTGTTTTGGGTTTTTTTCATTGTACATATCCCTTCTTCCTCCTCTATTGCTGACCAAGGGGATACAGATTCCATTTGAACCTGATTTGAATCTCAGAGATGCCTAGGAGTTTGGAGCTGAAACCCTGGAATATGTTACTTTTGTTGAGTGGAGCAATTAGTTACAATCTATTTACAATGGGCTTTTATTCTTAATTCACACAGAATCACAGAATCAGAATTCACTCAAGGGTTACTGGAAGCTCCTTCTAAAATGCATTTCTTGTCCACAGCTGCTTGTCAGAGACAAGTCCTTTGTCCATTAAAGGCACACTAAGAATTTAGCAAAACATGAAAGGGATTTGGTGAAATTAGGAGGCAAATCATCCTCCTGCTTATGAAAGTGGGTGGGAAGGGTGCATTGGGGAAAGATAGTCTGAAAAGGGTACTGACAGAATTTTGGATGGAATAGATCCTGTTTGGCAAGTTAAACTTTGTACTCTGTATTGTTCATGGCAGATAGCATTGGTTAAAAGCTTTGAGGGAAGCTTTCCAATGAATTTAGAAGTTTCAATCAAGCAACTTGTTAATTTCCACAATCAAACCCCAGCATATCGGTTGAAGTGGGGAATGGACCAGTTCTAGGAACTTCCCCCTCAGAAACAGGGGAAAGAATGAGCTGTGTAGGTGTGAAAATGTGAAGGACAAGCAAGGTTCTGAGGCTGCCTGTGCAGTTGCAGAGTGCACATCCTGTCCCCATCCCATCCAAGCAAGGAGCTCTGAGGCAGGGAAAAGGCAGCAGACTATGTTATCATGTGGCTGATTCCCTGAGGTTTCTCTGTGAGCAAGGCAGTCCCAGCCAGACTTTTTGCTGCTTGTTGAATGGAAGGGGGAACTCAGAAATGAAAACATGCCAGGGAGCTACTGCAGTGGGGCCAGACATTCCTGCCCCCCACATGCAGGAGCTCTGTGGTACTCAGGGATGTGCAGCAGCATTCCTATGACCATGTTCCCCTCTCCCAGCAGTGCTTAAAATTAAGGTTTCCTTGGTTTTCACCTAGCAACAGAACTCCTCTTTTTTGTCTTTACTATAATTATTTAAAGGAAGAAATAATACTTTTCTGACACAAACCTCTTGGGAATTACATCAACTATATGAAATATAAATATGTTTCCTCTCCCATTGTATAAATAATGGATTAGGTTTCCACTGGAGAAGCTGAGAGTAGGATTTAAGGACAACTTGTGTAACTCCTAAAGTAGGCTGTGGTGTACAGCAGCAGATTGTTATAAAACATGACACAGTAGAAAATGTGATTGTGTGATGGAAGCCCCTTGGTAGATCAGGTCACTAAAGTATGTACCCTACCTATGGTTTATGTTATGTTCAGTGAGCATCTGGACAGAAATAAACTGCTACCTGAGTGTTATTTTATCCAGTAATGTGTGATTTAATCATACAATTATCATGCAGTACCTTTTCTGTGTTTATGGAAGAAAAGCACTTGACAGTTTTTAGGATGAAAAACAAGAATTTGCGTGTAAAAGTGGACTATCATCCTTCCTTCAAGATGTAAATCTGATTTAGGGAGGATAGCCAGAGCTGAATGTGAACTTGGTGTCCTCATACCAATTAGCAGCAGATGAGAAGCATGCTGCAGAGCAACATCCTCTGTAAGAGCTCTGGGATGCTCACAGAGTGCCTGCTTGTTTTATGGGGCCAGCCAAGCAAAACTGCCTGCTTGGCGTGTGCTCCACTGGGCTGGTGTTTTGTCACCACTCTGAGACACTGCTTTTGTAGAGAAGTAAATAAAAAGTGACTGCCAAATCCCCTAGCATGAGTTTCTAAATCTGGTGTATCCAGACCCCTGATTCTGAATTGCATTAAGACCTCTCAGGAATTATAACCTGGAACAATTCAAGTTCCTATTCGTGCATAAACAGGCATGTTTATGAAAACAGAGTAGCTTGGATCTGTTTGTCCCTTTTTGATTGGTGATGAACTAATTTTATTTTAAAACTCGAGTCTTTACTCCTTGGTGCATGAAGGGACAGAATGAACTCACTGGAGCTGAAATTTCCTGAATTATGATGTTAGCCCTGACTCTGGTTTAGGGAAGTATATTGGGTTGGTCTAAAGTTGCAGTGACTTCTTCCCAGTTTTCTGAGTCAGGCAGTCAGGCTTTCTTCCAAATATTAGTGCAGGGAACATTTACAAAATTATAGGACTCTGCAACCTGTAATTGATATTTCCTGTGATTTTTTTTTTTTTTTTTAGACAAGCTTTATTAGTCAAGATTAGGTTAAAATTTTAATATCAGCTCTCTTTTCTCTGACTGAATTCTATCAATATTTGCATTTGCTGCTTATGTAAGTGAAATTTGAAAACTGATTTCAGAGAGAATTATCTAGGAGTAAAATATATCCTCAGTAAGACTTATTTTTATTTTAATGAATCATAGAATGGCCTGGGTTGGAAGGGATCTTAAACATAACCTAGTCCTTAATTCCCTGCCATGGCAGGGACACTTTATACTAGAACACGTTGCTCAGAGCCCCATCCAACCTGGCCCTGAACATCCCTTACAGGGATGGGGCATCCACAGCTTCTCTGAGCAATCCATTACAAGCTGAGGAACAGCTTTGTGTTCTGAAAGGAAAAAGTAGTTTTAGCAACAGAGCTTTGGTGTAGTTTACCTGCATGAGAGAAGAACCAAAAATTAAGATAATTGATTTCATAAAGAAAATGTATCTTAAACCATCACGCTCAGAATATTTAAATACAAATGCTAATAAATAACTAAGACATTCACTAAATGTGCTCTATATCATAGGAATTTCGTCACATTTGAAAAAATATTAAGCTAACTTAAAAATAAAATTTGTTGTATTGTTTTCAGAAAAGTTAGATTTTCTTTGGAGGATGTGTGCATCTGATGTTTCTCTTGTGAAAAATTTAAGACACATAGACAAATTTCTCAATTACATGCTAAACCACTTTCCTTTGTATTTGCAAGTTATTTTTCTAAAAAGAATGTAATGTTAAAAGAAGCTTTTGTCTAGTTTCTAAAGATAAGCCTTTTTACGATAAGTTTTCCCTCTTGCCTCCTTTTAAGGGCATGTTGTTCTGCTAAAGAGTGAAAGAATGTCAGAAATTCTGGGGTGTTACTGCTACTGCTCCCTCAAAACACGAGTGATCCTTTGGAAGAGAAAAATACTTGAATTAAAACTCAGGATTAAGCTCATGAAACTTGTCTGTAGGGTTCTTGTCCAAATCATTAAATACTGATCCTGGGAGAGGTACTTGAGAGGATTTCCACAGGTGCTGGGCCATGTACTCCTTGTATTTCACTTTCTCTGTTCTAAGTGGACCAGCAGCAATTGAGCCATCAGAGGAATTTGGGGTGCTCTTTACTGCAAGCCTATGAAGACAAAATGATTTCCACTTTCAAATGGACAGAGCCATGAACTCTAAGCTTTTGGTTCGAAGGAACCAAAGCCTTTAATAGTGAAGAATCTAGGTCCTATTTATGGTATTTTTGCTCATCCAAATGGTTTGGGATTTTTTAAAGCTGCTTCACTTTGAAACTTGGTCCATGGGAAGGAAAATTGTGTGCTCTTTACAGGTACTGAGGCCTCTTAAAAGCCCAGTGACAGACACTGGCAGTCTAGTCATAGATCAACCAATTTCTATTAACTAAATGTAGTAGATGATAAGAGAGTAGCTCAGAGAGGATTGTATGACCTACATTTTCATTTAATTTCTCCCACTGTTTACTGTGCAATATGTTTAACCTGGTTAGCCTGTTTTTAACTGTTCTGTTCCTGCAGTTCTTTTAAAACTTATAATGTACTATGTGTAACCTCTTAAACATCCCAAGTTGTTCATAATTTAGGCTTTGGAAACATCTCCCCACGCACACAAGGTGGAAAGATATTCTGTATCATCTATGCCTTATTGGGAATTCCTCTGTTTGGTTTTCTGTTGGCTGGTGTTGGAGATCAACTAGGGACAATCTTTGGAAAAGGAATTGCCAAAGTAGAAGATACCTTTGTTGTAAGTATCCTGACTACCTTGTCTGGGTTTTTTTTTTTTTTTTTTGCTGCTTGTTCTGAATCTCACAAGTGAAATGAAAAGCTTGAAAAACAGAGTATAGCTCATCGTTACAATCAGATGTAAAGGAAAAGGTAAGAAGGACTTGTCTGAACTTGCTAATGAACACCTCTGAGAATTGGGTGCAGACACATTCCCTACCATGATTATGTCTGGGAAGAGGAATAAGACCCAAATAATTTTGTTTTTGTTCTGCCCTTGTTACTTGTAAGCTTGCTATGATGCTTACCCTTAAAGGTTTTTCTATAGATTGTGATAAGAAATGTATTCACTGAGGTTTTTGAAGCAGTGAATGCTTAGTAAACAGCTCTGTAGCTGTTTACATCAGCACTGCAAGTGTTAGGTCTGGTTTTCCACATCAAGCCCTACCCTGGCATGCAGGACACCTTTTCTTTATAGAAAGGATCTGACATGGCTTTGTTTTTGAAGCAAAGAAAACTGGGCCTGTGCTAAGTAGTCTTATGCAATAGGCAAACACAAGCTTGAAAGAAAAAGGCTTTAAGAAATGCTTAAGGAAAAGGCATGCATTTTCAGCTCTGAAACATCAGTTCATGTCCAGACAAGGTACTGGTGAATGACAGATTTCCATTGAGATTTGTCTGAAAAAGGCAAGAACATTCCATAGGAACATTTTATAATTTTTGGGTTTTCATAACTGGTTGTTTTTTTCTTAAAGGTATAGAAGTTCTGAGGTCAATTTTTGCCTCTTTTTTGCTCAAGGAGATAATGGTTTTCCTTTTTTTTTCTAATGGATGTATCCCTACAAGATTGCCCCAACATAAAAAGCATTATTATCCCCTCTTTTGATAATACCTGAGTGAAAACACTGATCTAGATGTTGCAGTCTGGAACACTCCCTATTTCAGTTTATTAGCCTGCTTAAAGAACTGGGAGATGCTGATAGGTCAGAACAGGTATTTTTATGTTGCCATAACACAAGCTATTATTCTGATTGGGGCTACAAAAGCTCGACCTTGGTCATGCTGGCTGTAAACACAGTTTCCATTGAAACTTAAAAATAAGAAAACATCCATTGTGAACAATGTGATTTCATTTTCAGTCAGTTTCTGAGAAAGTTTCTTGTATAATCCCTTCTTTTTAGGTTGACCGACATGCATTGGATGGATGGAAAATATCAAATTGGCTGGGCATGCAAAATGGAATTTTGCAGGGGTCTGTTCTAGCTTTAGTGCAGTTTAGAAAAAATGTTAATAGCATACACAACAGCTAAATGACGTGGTTCATTAAATCTGCAGATGGTCTCAAGCTGGGGAGACAACAAAAACTTGGAGCATCAAAATGATCTTAGAATTTTTGTAAAGCAGTCTGACTAGATAGGATTAAATTCAAGCAGGACAAATTCGAAGTTATATATGAAGGAATAATAAAATATGCAGCTGCATGTCAGGAAATGGCTGTCTAGGTGCAATTTTCTGGAAATGTTCTGTGGACTCTATAGGTTAACATGCTAACATGGGTTAATGTCATACTACCATGGAAAATAGGAAAACTGGAAATAGATAAAGCAAAAGAAAGGCTAATTCCATTTTGTGCTATTTTGTCACATCTACTTTTGAGTACAACACTTAATGAAACATGGGCTAGTTTGTTGGTGCCAAGGAATTGCAAGAAAAATAGGAAGGGGAAGAAAAGGAAAAAAAATTTAGTTTAAAGAACATGTAACTGAAAGAGAACACCTTTGAAAGTTTGCTGGAAAGAGAAAATTAGCAATTTCTTTTGTCTTGGATAAGACTATACACAGTACACTTAAACAGGAGGAGCTGAGATGTAGTTTAAGCATTAGGAAAATTATCAGATGACAAGAACATGATCACATATTGCCTGGTCATTGATGTATTTACAGTGGCTTAGGTGGGTTGTTTTGTCTTTTGGCTCTCTTACATCCCTTGCAGCTCTGTTTTGTAGGATTTTGTTTAGTTGATTATTTGATTGCAGAGAACTATATGATTAAAATTCACCTTATTTAGTTGGTTATTTGTGGAAATACAAAATCAGAGAAATTGCAGGTGCATGCACTACTTGTAACTCATTCGAATATCTAGGCAGCCCTCAAAACTTTTATATCATCAGCTGTTAATATTAGTGAATGATATACATCCTGCTCATTCGTGAGGAGACCAGCCTTGCTCTGCATTTACTGCTGGCAAATGTTTCCTAGGATAGTCATGTTTGCTTTGAATCCATTTTCAGAATAAAATCCTGCTTGAATTTTCCCATTTATTTGAGTGTCCTCTAGAGCTACGTAGTGCACACTGGGGGGTGATGGGTGCTGATGTGCATTGGTGCAGTTTTATTAACAATGGGTTTCCTCTCTTTCCCCTTCCCTTTCTAGAAATGGAATGTGAGTCAGACAAAGATTCGCATCATTTCAACAATAATATTCATACTGTTTGGCTGCGTGCTGTTTGTTGCTCTTCCTGCAGTTATATTCAAGCACATAGAAGGCTGGAACACATTGGATGCAATTTACTTTGTGGTTATCACTTTAACTACCATTGGATTTGGTGACTATGTTGCAGGTAAGATTTTTTTCATAACTTTGTCTTATAATGTTTTGCATAGCGATATTTTTGTGCATTTTTTTTCTTCATTTTGGGGAAGATGTATCTCTCTTTTGGTGCCTCTCTCCCAGTTTTATCCTTCATCATTCATGTGATGGGGCCTGTCCTCATTTTGGTTGATGTGACAGTGTAGGGACAGGAGGTGGGACAGTGACATTCATGGTGCATGTCTCTGCCCACTGTTTTTTTCTCTTTCTATACTATTAAAAATTAAGTAGGGTATCATTTTGGTAGGGGTTTTTGTTTTTCTTACAGGTTAAAAAGTACAAGCTCATAGAGTATTTAAATCTGAATATATCTTTCAGCTGGGTTTGTTTAAAATTCCTCACCCTGTGACGTAAGTTTTGTGTGCATCCTTTACTTTCAAAATATTCCAGAGCTCTCTTTCTGCCATTGAAATGTCTGTATTCTGTAGGATCTTCTGAATACTGCTACTATGACTGTCAATACACACTTGCCCATGTGTTTTTTGTAATGTCAGGAGAAGTTTTAGCACAACTTGTAGATAACGTGTCCAATTTTTATGGTTCCATTAAACTGAATAAGTTTCAAATAGCTTTGATATGCTAAGCTAAAAAAAAGTCTGGGCCAGTTCTCTGTGTCAACTTTTTTCTTGGAAAAAATGTCAGAGGTGTTAGTTCACTTCTTAGATTTGAGTAAGTATATGCTGTGCTGAGAAAGCACGTTGATCTGAGTCAGTGATGTGTAGAGGTCAGGATCAGGAACTCAGAACTTTGTGCTCTGAGCCTGAGACTTGCTTTCCTTGGCCTGATCTGATGCTTCTGCTGATACAGAACCATCATCTCTCTCATGAAAATCCTCTCTCCCACCTCTGAACTCTGTGCAAGGCAGAGGTGACCAACAAGGCCCTTGGTGCTGGGTCTGCTCCCAGTGAGAGACTGCTGGAGGGAATTGTTTTTAGTAGTCACTCACTGACTGTGGGCTCCTCCTGTGTCTTGTCAGCACCCATGGCTGTTGTGTGCCAAGGTTCTCAGGTTGGGTAACTCCTCTTGTACATGTGCCTGAAGTTTTGCCTTGATGGCAGTAATGGATCTTGTCACTGGCAGAAGTTTTTCATGTTGGTGACATCCAACAGGACCTCTAAAGTGTTGGAACTGCCTGATGTATTTGTAAATGATGTAGGTAAAATGGGGGTAAATTTAGTTGTTGTTGAAGATATTAAGCTAATCAGGCAACCTTCATTTTTAGACTGCTTGCAAACTTGCCAAAGCTTCTTTTAAATTATAGAACTGAGCTGTAAAATAGCAAATGAGATTTCTTTTGACTTTTACACAGTTATTTGTTACTCTTTCAAATGTCTTTGTATGTGTCTTGACTTCTGCCTTTCCATTTTCTTTCCCATATTCTTTTTCTTATTTTCATTTTGTCTTCAGAATTTGTGATTCCGGTCAGATAACAACTAGCACGAAATAAAAAATGTATGCTGTTTCCAAGTCAAGAACTGGGTGTTTTAGACTTTCATTCCTGAAGGGTATGTGTATGACAGGGAATAAAAATGATGGTGTATAAAGGCCTGGTTATATTTACTGTAAAGCATTATGTGAAATGGCCCACTTGGCTCTAACGAGAACATTGAGTACATTCGTCATTACTCCCATTATAAATTTCCATAGACTTTTCTATTTGTAGACCATTTGATATCATAATTTTTTTCCTACATTGTCTGCTTTTTAAATTCTACCTGGAAACACTTTCTCTTTCTACAGAATGTCCTTGAATTATATTGTTCTATAGCTGATGGCCTTTTATGGTTCACTTGAAAGATGTTCTTTATTTAATTTAAAATCTTACTGTAAATCCATTATTTGAAAGCATCAGAAATGTTTTCTAGTTTCTTTGAGCAACATGCATAAGACTTGTATTTGAACTGGAGTATGATATTGACCTAAAGGGGCAATGGGATTTGTACTTGCCCAGACAATTCTCAGCAGAGCAGGGTTAGATGGCTGTCCCCATCACAACTGGGAGGTTAACATTCCCATGGGACTATATTCTGACAGGGGTGAAATTGATATTATTATAATCTTTGGATGAACTAAAATACTCTGGTTTTGGCCAGTGACTTGAAGGATTTTGCAAAAATGCCCATTTGTTTTCTTTGCAGTACATAATTGGCGGGTTAAATAAAAATTTTGAAAAATAGGTAAGGTATTAATTGATTGAGCTTTGCATTGTGGGAGTTTTCAGTCATTGGTGTGTATATAAGTATGAAATTATTTGAAGAAAACAGATGCTGCAATTCTCAATGGAGCTGATAGAATTTGTCCTAAGAGCTAGGCTTCATTATTAATTTAGGGGAAGTATGCAGAATTTTTTGCACCCTAACAAATTAGTGTGTTTTCTTCATGATATTTTGGTTTGCTTGTTTCTCTTTTAGGTAAGTCATAGCTACAGAGTGGACACTAAGGGCTACTGATATTTTTGTGGTAGGTTTTGTCTGGAGAACTTTCCTGGAAGTTTAGGGAAGCTGGGTGTACCATGAAGAGTTAAGACCTGTAATGCTGTTTAAGGCTGTGAAAGAGGTGGTCAGGTTGGTCATGATAGAATATTGTGTGTCTAGAGCATGCTGGTCTTGGTTCTGGTTTGCCATGGTGAGGCACAAAACAGCAGACAGAATGATGCTTCAGTCTCCTTGGTGCTAGATGCAACACATTTTGAAAAACTCACACTGTCATTAATTTATTCATTTTTCTCACTTTTTTCCTTAAACAATACTTACAATGCAAATTTTCTTCTTCCACTTAGCATTATGGTCAAACTTAAAGCATCATAATGGGCAGTGATTCTCTGATTTGCAATTATATTGGAGTGTACTTTTTTCAATAAAAGTCAAATTGATTATTCTTTTAGCACTCTGGAGGCCCATATGATAATCCATAAATGTATGTTAGTTTTGGCCCATTAAGTTCCCTCAAACTCCTATATATTTGAAAACTTTCAAGTCTTTTATTCTGAGAACTGCCATCTCAGAGAAAAAAAAACCATAAGTTCACAAGCCCCACATAATCCCATAGTTGGTTAACATATGTGTTGGTGTGTGGGGAAAAATTTCTGAAATGTCTATCATTTTTTGTAAATATGAAACTTGCTGCTTTTTGGTGCCACTGCAAGTAAGACTGAAAAGAAGCCCTGAAGAAACTTTCAGGAGGGAAAGAACAGTGTGTTACTCAAAGCTGTAGCAAAAGGGAGCCAATAGCTGAACATGGGATTCAGGAATGTAATGGTAATATTGACTGTAGTACAGGCTGTCATATTATAAATTCTTTTAGTTCTCCAGGACTTTTTTTTTTAACTTTCTTTTTTGTCTTGGAGACCATGTACTCTATCCCCAGAAACCAGATGAGGGAACGTTCCCTTTGTTAGTCAGAGTCTAAGTTGTTATTTGGAGCCTGTGGAAATTTCAGCTGGGGTTTCCATCAGCAAGAGAAGCCTTAAGGAAAAAATAATAAACTGGTCATTCCTGGTGCATGCAAGGAATGAAAGATGAAAAGCCCTTGTAATGCATGTTCAAGAAATATATGAACTCTATTCCAAAAAAACTGATTGCTTCTCTGTCTTATGAAATTACTTGCTTTTTAAAATTTTTGGAATGGTTTAATTTTTTTGGAGGGAGAGAAATATTTTTTTTTATTTGAAGAAATGTTATAGTAGTTTTTCACAAAAAAGAAAGAAAAACTGCACTAAAGCCATGACTGCCTTGTGAATATCATGGCATAGTCAAACATCCCTTTTCTTGTTTTTCAAGAGGAAACACTGACTTTAACATGAAAGAAGAAAACCCAACCAAAACCAAACCAAAAACCCCAACCCAACCAAAACTATTAATATCTTGTGAAAGAGAAAAAGAAATCTTCTCATGTTGAGTGTGTCATGATTTCAGTGCAATGAAATATATTTCTGGGTACTAAGGTTAGCACTGAGGCACATGAATACATCTGTATAATTGATAATATATTGTTCATATATACAGATAAGTTCTTTAACTTGCAGGCAGTTTGGAAGGTATATTCAAATATTTCTAATGGCATTAATCTAACAGGTTTCAAATCTTTAGGTGGCATGTCCAAAGTTTGACTAAATTAAGTAGAAAGCAATAATATAAATAGCATATCAGTTGTCTGTTTCACAGTGGAGCATAATAATATAAGATTGTCTCAACTGGTTCAGTGAAACAGATCACAGAATTCTGGAAGTGTTACTACAAAAATGTATTCCAAGTATTTTGTTACCTTTGTGGGAGTTTTGTTTGGCTTGGTTTATTTTCCATGTTTGAACCCTGATTTTTAACTTGCTGCTTTTTCACTGTTTCATTCTGTAATCGGGTCTGATGTATCACCACTGGGATACACATACCTGGCTCTGCACTGTGTTGCTTGGCCTGAGACCCAGTTTGTAGGGACCTGAGATATTTTAGTCTCATTCAATGTCACCAAACTGGGGCACTTGACCTGGTGGTCATAGCAGCCCAGCTGATTTGCTGTCACTGTGTGATACCACGCACCAGCAGTGAGAAATCACTGTTGTGCTGAGCCAGGGGTGTGTCCAGCATCCTGCAGGAGAGCTATGTGCCCTCCCACAGGCTCCATGTCTTTTTCTGGCATTTGGAAGAGCTCTTTGGCCCCTCAGGACTCAGGGTCCCTAATAGGGCTCTCTGTGTGTGAGCTGTGCTTTAAGGTGAAGACAGAGACCTGCTTGATGTGTGTGCAGGACAGCATGTGGGGAGTGTTTTAGATCTGTGCTTTGTTTTCTGAAGTAGCTCTCCATTTTCCACTGAGTGGCATCAAGTGGTTCCTATGGCCTACTTACATTCCATCTCTGACAGTGCAATATCTTGTCCCCAGCCTTCTGCCTTTCCACACTGCCACATGGGTTGTTCTTCCTCTTCTCCTTTTTTTTTTTTGTTCGGTTTTTTTGCAGTCCTCAGAGGAAATTCCTTTCAAGCTGCATGGCTGAACCTCCATATCTCTTCAGAGGGGGACAAATGGCATTTCTGGGTTAAACATGTTTGTCACCACAGGGATGGTGGACAGCTATTTGTTATTCTGCAATTAAAACTGGATTATATAATGTTTCTATATCCAGAGTAATTTTTACTGCTGATGAAAAATTGTAGACACTTCCTTGCTTGCAGTGCCAACTCTTGAATACCCAGAATTTTTTGCTAGTATGGAATTAAGACACTCAATGTTGACAGCATTTTCTATTCTCTCCTTCTAATTTTGAAGTAAAAATGCAAAGCTAACCAACTTTACAGAAATAATTACATGTTTCTATTTTGAGCTAATTACTGTAGAAAGAACGGGAAAAAAGTGGCAACAATGAAGAAAATTATTTACTTTTAAAGTATTTGTTTTACATAAATAAATAAGTAAAAAATATATGTTTGTAACCCTGATCTCTTACCCTAGAACTAGAATCTGTTCTAAAGCATGCCTGAGATATTCACTAATGCCTTTCTTCACTGAAACAGAGTTCTTGACCTTAATAAAGAATATGTTTGGGCCATAGAAAAACTTATGTTTTTCAAAGTGTTGAAACTCCCAAATAAAATTTATTTGGTGGATATAAAAATGGTGACAGCAGCAACACAATAGCCTGTGATGATGATGCATAGGAAAACTCTTAGATTTCTCACAGACCTCAAGCAATTTTAGATCCAATCTTTACCAGAAAACATCTTGGTGATGAACTGTGGCTGCTCTTGGTAATAGATTATGGCAGTGAGAATGCTAGATTTCTTCTTCATTGTGGTTTTAACCTATTTTGGGTAGAGGCTAAAGAAAGCTGGGAAAAGTTTTGTCCCTTAGCCCACAAAATTGGGTTTGCCAAACAAGCAACAAAATTCATCTTCTGCCTTCTCAGCATTTTGCTTCCTAGAGGGCTGCATAAACCAATTTGCTTTGCAGGAGAAATATAAGAGTGTATCATATTGATATGCTTTTTACGATGTTGCCCATAAAGTCATTAGATTATCTCATATACTTCAGGAAAAGTACATTTAGCTATGCATACTCATACCCAAATGCATTCATACCCATTTAAGTGAATTTGGTAGTAAATGAATTCTTGTAGTTTAAATTCAGTACAGTTGAGTTGTGATCACATTTCTCTATGACATCCTATTTAATGACATTCCCAGGTAACTTCATTAAGGCAGTTTGAGCATCCCAGGAGAGAGTAGTTATGTCAGGACAAACATCTTCAGGTATGTCTCTCTCTCCTTGAGATTTGATTAAATTGTGAAATCATCCAAGGAGTCCTTGAAGTTCAGAAGCTCAACAACTAATAAAGGTTTTAGCTTTGAAGCCCTGTCCTAGAGTATTTCTTTGGATACCTTTTGTCCCTTTAACTTCAGGAAAGCTGAGCTCCTTTGGGCATGGCTAGATGGAGCCCTCTCCTGGCCAGACAGCATGGAAAACTTGGTTGAACATGAATATGTCCTAACTCCTGTCCCAGTGATCAACTTTGCTGTAAATAAAATAAGTATAAACTGTGAAGGAGGTGCTTCCTGCAGACTGGAAGAGCTAGGTTCCAGTTTCAGTTTATATGCAAAATATGCCAAAAAACTAAAAACCAACTATGTGGATGTTTTCTATGATACTTTATTGTGGATTGTATGAACAGCAGAAGGAGATGATGACCCACCTCTGGAAGTGTGGCCCCTTACTATAGCAAAGACATCGTGGTAATCAAACATTTTTTGAATTACAAGAAATTTGGGGTGAATCATCCCTGAAATACTATTTTACTAGATTGACATGAGATGAACGTTGTTAACAAATGATTTGGTGTTTTGTTTGTCTTGTGCTGTGACAAACTCAGCCCTGTTGTGGCTGGATTTTTCTATTCCAACAGAGCCCTGTCTTCTGCTTGGGACTACAAGGGCATCAAAATATATCCACTTTCACATTGTGGGTTCATCTCTTGGAGAGTTGAGTAAACCACTGCAGCTCAATGCATTTAAAAAAATTTTAAATGAAAATATGTAATTGACATGAAAAGAGTAAAATTTCTGTCTGTAAGGGCTTCCACACAAAGCTATCCATCAGTAAAATTCTTTATTTGCATGTAATCTCTGTGATAATAAAGCTAAGCAAAAACATTATTCTCCATGAGAGTCAGTTGCAGTACTGTAACAAGGTGCTTGATATTTTGGGGCCAATTTTCCCTTGATTTGTTTCAGGATAGGATGCAGATCCATAGAACAAAGTATTATGTACCTGTGCAGGCTACTGTAATGTGCCTGAGAACATTTTACTGTAGACTCTCTTCAATTATGGGCAGATACACCCATCAAACTTCTTGCAGCAGCCCAAGCTAAAAGACTGGTTTTATTTGTTGTAACACAGCTGAATTCCAAGTTTAAGGCTTCTGTTTTACTGCATGGAAAAATGTGAAATGTGAGCTATTTGGTGTTGTCAAGAGCTCTGGATGAACATAACTTTCTTTTGTGTGGAAATAAGACATCTGTTCCTTATGGCTGTATTATACCTGAAAGCTGTATTACAGACACCTCTGAAATTTATCCTTTCTTTATGTTTTAACACTGAAGTGAAGTGATTGGTGCTGATGGCAGTGGGATTAAAAAAAAATTTGCTTTCAGCAGAACTTCTAATTCAACCTTTTTCTTTTTTTTGTGGGGGCGGGGGGAAGTTTATGATCAGTTCAACTCAAGTCCTTGCACTCTGGTTTCCTTCTGTAGAATGGAGATGATAATGTTTGCCTACCCACCAGGGACACTTCTTAATGCAGGTGCTACTCTTTTTTTTTTTTTTACTGAGTCTAAGGTTTTATGTAAGTATGGAGATGTTTTAAAGTTCTTGCAAAAACAGATTTCTCAGGGTATGACCGCATTGCATACTTTGGAACAATACTTTAAACTCTGATGCAGCATCATTATTTGGAGCAGGTGGGAAGTTATTTCACTCAAGCTGTCTTCAATGACCTCTGTCTTAAATGACAGTATATCAGAAGTTGAATCAGTTTGTGTTCATTCAATAATTATTATGAGTTGTTAACAATCTTTGTCTAAAATTTGTGTACTCCAGACATTGCTTTCAAGAGTGTGTCTGTTTATATAATTTGTTCAAATTCAACAAAATATTTTGCTAGGAATTTTTGCATGGGTAAAAATACAGAAGGTGTAAGAAATTTAACTTTTTTTTTAAAGGAAAATTAATTTAATTTTAACATCTTTGCATCTATATTGTTTTTCAGGGGGATCAGATATTGAATACCTAGATTTTTATAAGCCAGTGGTGTGGTTCTGGATCCTTGTTGGGCTTGCTTACTTTGCAGCTGTCCTCAGCATGATTGGAGACTGGCTAAGGGTCATATCAAAAAAGACAAAGGAAGAGGTAAGAATATTTTGAAAAGGGAAGAAATATTCCTTTTTAAAAACTTTGAATAGAAGCCAAGGAAGCTTGTGGATGCTTTTGCTCTTAGGGTCAAAGCTATTTGTGTATGAACTGTAATGCTGCAAGAAACTATGTAGCAGTCCACTCAAACATACAGTGTTTTATTTTCACATGTCTGCAAAGAAAATTAGATTAAATATATTATTAAATTAAGTGTATATGAACAGTTGCACTTGATTTATGGGGGAAAAAGTCTTAAACTACTGTTCTAGGTAGTAGAATGTAGGCCTTAATTTTTAAGGCAAAAATTATTCTGCTTTGTTTATGTAAGGGATGCAGGTATGTAAAGAAAGTAAGTGGCTATATCTGAGATACCGTTCTTTATAGTGGTAATAAATGTTTTTGTATCATGCTAGGTATTGGAATGAATTATTTAAATATCCCTGGGTGTATTTTGCCATAATAGCTTCCACAGAATTATTTGGTATTTGTAGTCAAGCATATTGCTTTCAATTGAAATATGCTTTCACCTGTAAATTTCAGTTATTTTCACTTGTATTTATTATTCCAATGATATAACAACAAAACTTGAAGTTTTGTCATTTAAGAAAATGTCCTGGTTTTGAAAATGTTAGAGGGTAAATAAAATTTCCTTCAATTGTAGCGTGCATAGTTCAGATTTTACTGGAAGTCTGGGAAATTAATTTTGTTTGAAGCAACATATTATTTCCCTCTAATTTAGCTTGAGTTCTTTTGCACGCATCAGTTGATTTATGCTACTCAAACATAAAAACTCTAATTTGTTTTTGATGGAATGAATATGTTGGCCACTGTGCAGTGGCCTGCTACTTACATTGTTTTGAATAGTTTTCCTAGCTGTAGGGCATGGCATCAATGCCTAGATGTATTCCTGGCAATGCTTGAGTTCCCAAAGCCTTTGCTCCGAAGGGTAGCTTACCCCTACAAGCTTTCAGTGCCTGCAGTCCCTCAGGGCGCCTGCCACCTTCTGAGCAGGAGCACTGCTGGCAGCAGGCAGGAGGGTGGGAGCTGGGATCTTGGGCAGGATTAAAGCCACTTTGTAAGGAATGTGGGATGGGAAGCCCTTTTCCATTGCCCTTGTTTTGCTCATGGCTCTGGGGTTAGAGACAGCACGGTGTCTGCTGTAAGCACACTTTTAGCAGGCAATTCATAACCACTTAGCCCTGAAGCAGAGGACGATATTTATTTGAACAGTTTCACTTCAAGAGTGTCATCTTTTGCCACATGCTGTAAATTTGAAAGGGTATTTATGATTTCCCTTCCACGGTATTTATGACTTCCCTTCCACAATGGGCTTTACCAGTGCCCTCCACGGGTAGGGAGCAGCAGGTATCATCTGAGGATTCCCGTTTGCAGGTTCAACAGCTGGCAGGATCACAGCTGTGTTTTCTAGAAAAGCACCGAGGGTGCCTTTAGCAGCCAGCCTTACATGGCTTACACCGGCTGCAGGGAAACCAGTGCATCACTTCAAATGCCAGTAACTGCATGGTTGTGTTTGCTTATTTTGAGCTTAAGAATTAGGTTAGTCTCACCCATTTTCTCCTCTGCAATAGGAAAAGTAGGAGAGCACTGGAACAGGCTCCCTAGGGAAGTGGTCATAGCACCAAGCCTGCCAGACTTCATGAAGCATTTGGACACTGCTCTCAGGCACACATTGGAATTTTTGTGCGGGACCAAGGGTTGGATTTAAATGATCCTTGTGGGTCCCTTCCAGCTCAGGATATTCTAAGATGGTTCTAAGAGTGGTGTTACCTCTGGGCAGTATATTGCTGTCTAACTGTTCTCAACTTGAGGCATTTCCTATATTGTCTTTAGTTTCCCTGAGTTACTTCTGTCTGGATGTTTTGGAAAAAATATGGTGTGATTGAGGCACTATGACTTCAGACTATGCAAAAATATTCTTCAGGCTTGTTTTTGCTGTATTTTCTCAGACACTGTTGACACATTTTAGTTCTTCACACTACTTCCTAGAACTAATCTGATCTTTAACCTCAGTTTTCTCATATTCTTTTCTGTTATCCAGAGATCATAGTATCTTGACTATATAGTTGACTATATAACACTGATGTTTTAATCTTATAATGATGATAATATATTAAGAATGTTTGAAATTTGTAGCTCTTTGTGAAGCCATTTCAATATAGACTAACTCTGGAAAGGATTTAAAGACACATTTATTGAAAAACCCAAGAATACCTCTAGCACATCAAAAGCATTCCTATTTTTATCAGGGAAAACTGTTTGCCAGGTTATGCAGTGCAGTGCTGAGCTTTCTTTTCTCAGACACTGGGAATGTGTAACTTAGTCCATCTTTTCATTCTTTCTCACCTTTATAGCCTAAACAAGCATATTCATTTTGTCTACAGCAAGGAAAACCTCATTCTTCAGATATATCCAAATTCTCTTGGCTGAAGCAGGTATTGGGAATTCTGCTGTATACAAGTCTCATGTGTGTTAGGTTAGATTAAAGACAGACATAACATAATTCAATTAATCATATCTCTGATGGTCAGAAATCTCCCTCCCTACTTCTTAACCCATTGCTCAGGCATGCATGAGAATTCATAGCAGAAATAAAATGCTTTAGGAGTTTAAGATTTTATAGTTTTAACAATGGCAGAGACCAATTTGATAATTGAATTATGATACACCTAAAGTTGTGTGACAGTTACAAAATACAAAAAATAAAATCTGTCTTCTATCCTATTGAATCTTTGTAGGAAGAAAATAATGTATTGCATTTTGTTATAAGATTCGCTATAAGCATTTTAAAAATGTTCACTTTTACATGTTTCATTTTATGATAAAAACTGCTGCTCTTAGCTCATTTTTGCTATCTGCCTGGAAAAATCTGAGTGAAGTGAACTTCTCAGCTATTCTGAAGGAGTCTAGTGGAAATGTAGTTGTGAAGTTTCTTCTGTACCAGCAGAAGCCAGATGAGACCAAATTTTTTGTCTTTCTTTCCAGTTAAACCTAAATTTGCAGTGGACTGTTCCAGCTTCTATGGATGCAGATTATAGCAGAGGAACCTCTCTGGAGTTCCAATATCCATGAGTGCAATGAAAAACCCTAGTTCAAAGTACAAGGTGTATTTTTTCAACTGTCTTGGGGAAATATTGTCAGTCCTTGGGTAATAGCCCCTTAAACCTAAAAGTAACCATTGAAGTGGGAAACAATGTTATATATTAAAATTTATTCAGATACAGAGTCCGTGAAAAACCTACAGAACTGTGATCAATGCACTCTGAAAACTGAAGCAGTTTAATATATTTCCTAGGGAATAGGATGCTGAATATCTTCCTGAAAATTATGGGGATTGTTATGGGTATCAGCAAATAAACAAGGTTTTGTATAGGACTTGTATTCTACTTTCCATGAAGAAAACAGTAGTCTAACATATTTTAGATACAGGAAGGAGCAGATCATTCAGTAGTGATCAGCTGTGCTGGCTTCAGCAGTCTTAAGACTAAGCAGCAAAATCTAGAGAATGTTACCCGAGTCCAGAATGAGACAGAGAGGTTGTAAGTGTTGTTCTTTACTTCCCCCCAACAACCAAAACTATATATCATTAGGGGTATATCTTTATTGATAGGCAGCTGTAATATGTTTTAGTAGTCTAAAGTAAAAAGTATCAATAAATATTATCATTTTTAGGGCGTGGAGGGAAGTCCTTCTTATTCCAGGGAGAAAACATGCTGTTAATGAATATCACCTAAAATGTAGTTCTATTCATATATTTTAATGTAGTTGTGTTGTTATTAGAAGCAGTTTACATAAGAATTTGAGGTAATAATGCATTTCACTGTTTCAACAAAATAAAACATCTCTTTTTTTCAGTATACTTGCCAGGAAAGTTTGTCCTATACAAGTGGATCTGAGACAAAAAAAGATCTGATCAGAAATGAACTAATGCACAGAACTACTGTATTTTGATATTAAAATCCAGATAACCAGTATGTCAGTCAGTTGCTCAGGTGGCTTTTGTCTCCTGAAACTCTGGAGAATTTTGAATGCATCAAATGAGGAGGGAAGTGAAAGACAAGTAGAGACAGAAGTGGGAGTTTTAGAAGGATAGATCTGGAAGCAGCTCATACAGTAAGATAGATGAAATGTCAGAAAGTCACTGGAACATGCTGTGTGCTGTAATCTTAAGTAGGCGATCTGTCTCTGAAGTTCAGCCTCAGCTATACTAGCTTGCCTTAAACTCCCTCCTCTTCATTATTCTCTACACTGATTACTCAGAGCACTTTTAAAGTGTTCTGATTTTAGTTTCTTTGAAAGGTAAATTTTTCAGCAGGATTTTTTTTCCTTGTCATTTTTTTTTTTTTACTTCTGTATGCAGCAGCTTCTGAATTCTGGCGTTTTTAGCAAAAATGCCTACCCAACCAACAATCTTAGTTATTTGGGCTATAGATGCTGTTCTCTTCACTCTGCATCAGGAGTTCAGGTGACAGACTTATGTTAGACATTGGCTCAGTTTAGGCAAGTGATTTTTTCATGCTGCTTGTCAGTCCTTTCAATTGAACAACATGCACCCAGCTTTAAAGACAAAGCCTAAAATTTCAAGATAAATAGCACATTTGCTTCTTGTGGAAATTCAAGAGGCAGTTGCTATATTTGATATTTATAAACAAATTCAACAAATTTGACTCATCTGAATCATCATTTAGTTTAATCTTCTTGGCACCAGTGACAGAGCTGTCACTCAAGTCTGTCAAAACAGAATTAGACTTGTCATGATGATGCCATGGAGATTATTGCACTCCCTATATTATTTGTTGTCTTTTTATTAGCTTCAGGCTGAAGTTGCTCACCCAGCATAATGGACCCAGCATAAAGAGAACTTGAGCCCATTTCTCATATCCCCCAAAGAGGGACCCTAGATGTTGGCTGTATGCATGAAAAGATGAAAAAATTAGTGGACTCAAGAGAGAAACAGTTTTGAAGGGTTTTCAACCTCC